TTAAGAAGGAATGGATTCCATCTCATGTAATAACATTCCCGGCTACCTACTTCATCATGTCTCCAAAATACAAGGAATAGGATTCAGGATCTCAGAATCTGTACCGAGTAAATCAAAAGACACAAATCCATAAATAGGAGTTTGTTAAGAACTCAAGATTAAGATCATTCTGTATATGACCATCGGTAGACTCAATTAGAATTTCTATACTTAACGGAAATTATTAGAAATTCATATTGTGTCTGTGTCCTTGTTCCACATAATCTCATTATGCGAAATACACTCATTCAATATCTCACCATATTAACAGTGCGGATAACACCATTCCATTCTAAATGGGAATGACATGTATTAATAATGTTTTAATTAAAGATTCTGAACTTTAATTAAATTCATTATGAACATTGATTTTTGATTATTATCCTTAAACATTATCCTCTCATATATAACACTTATATACAATGTTTAAGGTTACATAAATAATTATGGAATTTTCATTGATATTCATAAAATATTCATAAATATATGCACATAAAATAATGAATAAACTCTTTTATTAAATAAATAATAAATATCCTATTACATCTCATCCTTCATATGGAGGAAGCTAGAGAGAGAAACGAAAAGAGAGAAAAGAGAAATAGAGGAAGAGAGAAAGAAAGAAAGAGAGAGAAAACTGAGAGAACGATTTTACTCTCGACTAGTGAATTTGTATGTAGACTTTCCACTGCATCACTTGAACAGTAGTACATGAAAGTTTTCAGTTCATGAAAATTGTCAATTTATATATATCTTATATGTTTTCATGAGATTTAGAAAGTTTTTTAGTTTTCAGAATATGATATGAATCTTGTGTTGATTACGAACCGACTGAGTTAGTAAAAGGGTCAAATCCTTGAGGAACAAGAGATTCTGAGACATGGGCCACCAGATAGAAGATAAAGATTTTCTAATAACACAAGATGAATGTCAAACAGAAGGGCCATATAAGTTTAAAGTAAAATATTTTCAAAGTGGAAATTATTTTACCGTTTACTTACTGAGCTTTAGATCATATAGTTCTCGTGATGCAGGTAAGCTTTCAGTAGAAGTTCCAGTTGATTGAGCAAGAGCAGTTCAAGTCCCATGACGAGTTTAAGTAAAGAGATCTTAAGTTA